CCACATATGCTTGACAATAATTTGCAGGGTTTCTAACATATCTTTTGTAGGATAAAAATCAGATTCTGCTAATTAAAGCACAATATTATGCATGATAAAACATAACAACTGTACATGTGTGTGAACTAAAAACTTCAAAATACAAAAATTTATAGTAAAATATAGATAATTCCACAAAGTAGTGAATAATTTTAATAGCCTACTTTCAGTGTTCAGCAATTAAAAAAAGACAAATGGATTAACAGAACAGTCTTTTTTAAATATCCCAAATTTATATGGTAAATTGATTTTTGAAAAATGTCAACGACATTTGGACATTAAGTGAGTACATGCATTGTGTAGCAAATATTGCTAGAATTGGACCTAGTTGAAAATCATAAGGAAGGGAGAAGCAAGGAATCAATCCTAATCATTATCTCATGTCATATTTTAAAAAGTATCTTAAAAGCACTTCAGTGATGATTAATTTTGATTGTAGACTTCACTGAATTGAGGGAAATTAATAAAATATACACCTGAAGGTGTTTCCAGAGAAATTTGGCATGTGGATCAGCAAAGTGTGTAGGGAAGATACTCTTTAAAAGTTGACAGTACAGTTTGGTAGGCTTGAGGCCCAGATGGAATGAAAACAAGGAAAAAAGAGTAAGATATGCATGCTGCCACCTGACACTTCTTGAGCTGGTTCAATTTTTTTTTTCTTCCTGCTATAACCCACTGACTTTGAACACCAGGTTCTGGAGCCTTTGAATCTAGACTTGCTCCAAGGGCTTTCCAGGATAAAGGCTGCATATTTCCTCTTTCTAATACTGTTTCTGGCTTCTTAGGTTGGGATAACAATTTTCCTGGCTCTCAAGACTGTAGAAGATGATTCTGAGACTATTCAGTCTCTGATGTGTTAACCAGTCTAACATGCCCTCTCGTGTAATTATATATATTCTATATGCATTATATTAGTTATATGAACTCTATATGCATATATCAATTATATGCCTCTTCTCTTGAGGACCCTGATTTATATAGATTCTGCTACCAGTAATACTTTAAAGATACAAAATTTTAGGGATTAATTTCCTAATTGCTTCATACTTTATCAAACTGGCAATCAAACTTGAGTAAGCCTAAAATTGCTATGAACATTAATACTCAAATGAGTAGGATGGCTCATTCTATGGATGGTAGCCTCTGCTCCAAGCCATTCCAAATTCATTAATGAGTGAAATAGTCATAGTGGCAGGTATAAAGGCTCGTGCATGAGCTCAGCAAGCTGACCAAGGCTGATCTAGCTATGACAACAACTAAGTGACCCCATATTCCAGTTGCAGAAACCAATACTGAGTTCTGCATATGGCAGCAGTCCCCAGGGGGATCAGTCAGTTACCTGTTCACAGACTGGTTCCACTGGATCACTTTCATCATGGAAAGACAATATTTTATCTGTACTAGAATAGATACTGTTATTGTCTCTGGATTTGTCTTCTCTGAACATAATATTTTTGTGAAAACTACTAGCTGTGGACTTTCAGAAAGCTCTACCTACCATCATAAGATTATGTGCCACACTGCTTTTGACCATGAAACTCATTTCACAGCCAAAGAAGTATAGCAAAATGTTAGTGCTCATGGAATTAACCAGTCTGTTTTCCATCATGCATAAGTATCTCACTTGATAGAACAAGTTGACTGAAGAAACTGTTACAGTGCCAGACAGGTGGTAATACCTTTTCAGGACTTAGACAGGATTCTCTAGATGGCTATATATCCTCTGAATCAATATCCAACATATGCTACTACTTCTACCATAGCCAGGAGTCATGGGTCCAGGAATCAAGGAGCAGGAATAGAAATGGTACCACTCACCATTGCTAGTATTAACTCACTAGCAAAATTTTACTTCCTATTCTCATATCTGTGGGCTCTGTTGGACTAACAGTGCTAGTTCCAGAATGGGGAATGCTTCTACCAGGAGACACAGTGACCTCATTGAACTGGCCATGTTGGCCTTCTCCTGCCTCTGGATCAACAGCCTAAAAGGGAGTTAGGGTGTTGATGGAGTGATTGATCCAAATTACAAAACAGAAACTGTTCCATAATGTGAATATGGAAGAGTACGCTTGGAGGATAGAGGATTCCTTATGTCATCTCTTAGTATTATGCCCCACAAATAAGGTTAATGGGGAAATTACAACAACCAAATCCAAGAAGAACTACAAAAAGTATAGATCCTCCAAGAATGAAGATGTGAATCACAACACTATTTAAAATACCATGACCCTGATGAAGTGCTTGCTGGATACAAAGGTGTATAGAAAGAAGTTATAAATACAGACCTCAACCATGTAACTAGACACAGAAACAAGAACTATAGTTGTCGTATTTCTTCCTCATTTTGTTGAGAATTTACTTGTGCATATGCATGCATCCATTAAGGAAATATCTTTATTTTTTTGTTCTCATTTCTTTACCATGTAACATAGATTAATTGACTTTATGTCAGTATTTAAGTATTATTAACTTTACAATATAGTATTTAAGTTGTAAGACAACAAGGGAAGAGTAAACATCACTCAAAAATTTTACTTCCTCTTTTGGAGAAAGAAATAGTGCATTGTGGTTGTGGGCAGGATAGTTGCACTATGTTAGGTGACATTTTAGCCTTTTAATTATTTTTATTGGAAGATGAAGAAAAGATTACCCTTATTGAAATGGGGTGCTTTCTGCTGCTGTTACCTGTGGACAGCAGATCCCAGCTGCTTTAGCCTTTGAATGCAGATGTACACTAGAAACTCTCCTAGGCCTTTGGCTTCAGTATGGGGCTGTGTCATTTTCCCCTCTCTTATTCTGAGGCTTCTGCTTCTTAGACTGAGCAGTTCTAGATCTCTGGGACCCCTAACTGGCAACCAGCCATCACTGGATTATTCTGATCATCTGAGCCAACCTAATGTTATATGTACAATTGTTACTGTTCTTGTGGAGAACCCTGATGAATGTAAATTCAGTTATAAAGGTAAAAGCTAAGCTATGATCCCTGTGGAACAAGACACAGAAGAAACACTTTGTCTTTTAGTTATACAATAATTTCTCTTAAAGGTAATGTAAATATGAACAATAAAATAAAACCATATGTAGGACATAATTACAACTCAAATCCTTTTCTCTTTGAATGAAAACATTAAGAGAACTATCCAGCATATACCAAGGGAAAATGTTTTTAAACTACATAACCAAGAAAGGATTTGTTTCCAGAACAAATAATGAACTCTTACAACTCAAAATATACAAGGCAAATAAGATAACAGAATAACCCAGTGATGTGATCAGACACTTAAAAAAATATTTATGGTACATGAATAACTAACAAGAAAGTGAAAGAAGCTCAATATAATTACTCATCTGAAAAAATATCCAATTAAAATCACAAGAAGAAACTACTGCACTTGCCCATTAGAAAGAACAAAATTTAAAAGACTGAAAAAAAATTCTAGAAGGGATATTAAATGACCAGAACACTCATATATTCCAAGTAGGAAAAGTGGAAAACTGTTTGGCATTTCCTTAAATGGTAAAATACATGTCTAACTGAAAACCCAGCTACCCCATGCTTAGATATTTATTCAAAATAAACAGACATGTATGTCTAGCAAAAGAGTCATACACAGATTTTTTTTAACTAATAGTAAAGCTGTTCTCATTGGCTATATATTTATTGCAAATATCTATAAGCACTGGTGAGCATGTTCTGTGTCTTGATTGTGAAGATAACTTCACAGGTACAGTCACTTAAACTCATTGAATTGTACATTTTCAACCAGTGCTGATTATTGCATAAAAGTCATGCCTCGATAAAACTTAAATAGAACAATATTAGGATTTAAATTCATGTAAGTTTGATCCAAGGCAATCTTATTAGCTAGTATGTAATTCTCTCTCTTCATATGTATATTCAGCTTTATGATGCAAGCTGAGGATTCTTCTGACGTGGCAAAACCACACTGAATGTACTCATTTTCTGTCTTCATGAAAGAGTTATCTAGTTATCTCTGATGTTAGAGCTGCTACATTATGAGAACATGTGATTAGCATTATTTAGCATGCTTAATTTAGTTTTGTTTGCATCATTGTATATATATTCCAATAACCTATTCATAATTTTTAGGATGGGAAAAGAAAGGAACAAAGCCAAAATATCAGTGGATATCGCCCTTCTCGCTCTCTAGTCTCTGCCTGTGTCATCCTCATAAAGTTACATCTTATGCTCAGAGGGCCTCCCCACTTTCATTGGTCCTTACTTTATAAAGCATCATTTTACATAGTCTACTCTTAAATCATAGATGGTTAAATATAATAATTAGTTTAAGGGCCGGGGATTTAGCTCAGCGGTTCGGTGGCCTGCCTTGCAAGTGCAAGGACCCAAGTTCAATCCCTGGTACCAAAAAAAAAGCTTATATCTTGCCAAAGACAATAGGTCCATGAACTTTTAGAAAGTAATTTATGTGGTTATTAATTTTGTGTATAAATTTTACACTTTAAAGTAGATGTTGTATTTAGATTGTTTTCTTTCAAGTGTCTATTTGCTTTATAATTTAATTTGCAAAATTATTTTAATAATTTGAAGGATTTAATTATGAATTATTTTTTACTTCTCTTTCACAGGAGAATCAAAAGACATGTGCATGTGTCTAAAGAAGCCAGAGATCATGAAAAAGTTATGATTATTACCCTGACAACATATTTGTATTCTTCATTTATTGAATTTTTCTCTCAGATATTTTTCAGTATAACGTGTTGGAAATGCTTCTGTTTTTCTTCTTGGGTTTCATTTATATCATATTTACATGTGTTTAAATTTAACTCTGTAGTCCACAGATGATAGAACTGTTCTTCTGGTATAACATGCTGCTGAAATTTTTTTTGAGGGTTTCAAACTCACTCTTTTGGTTGTTGTCCTCCCAACTTGTTTAAATGGTAGATCTGGGAAGGAAATTTATTTTTTATGATTATTTGCTTTTGTAAGAATACTTAAAATCCGAATTCTGGAAAAAATAATTCACAAATGCTGTGTTATTTTTTTCCTCATTGCTTGCTTTTAATTAGCAGCAATTGTGCCTCAGATAAACCTCTTTGGCTATGATACTGCCACTGCACAAAGCTTCATTACTTGTTTTCAATTTTTAAAAGTTATTTCCAAATTTTAGTACTGATTTCAACTTCATTTTTTCTTGGCTTTACTTATTTTGCCCTTAACCAAATTTAAGACCAGCTTGGCCTGTCACTTTGAGCTGAGAGGCAAACCTGTGTAGTGAAAAGACCTTCGATTCCCAAGGAGATAAGTGTGGGGCCCAGTCGCCCTGCTACCTAGTTGGGACCATTGGTGAGCTACTTCATTACATGTCGGTTTGTGCATTACAAGAGGCTAACAGTAGTTAAACAGTTAAATTACAATGTGGTCTGGAGATATGGCAAAGTTCCTGGGTGTTAAGTAGTAGCTCCTATGCTTAATGATATATACACACACACAC